GTAGTTTTAGGACCCATGTCTTAAGCACATGACTATACTATTATACTGCCTCTCTGACCAAGTTGTTCCTCCTATGTGGCTTTTCTGACCATTGGGAGAATTTTTTCTATGTGATAGACTAGTAGACTTAAAGATAAAGTTCCTTTAATTATATTAAAAGTTGTTGAATGTTATTAAATAATTAGTTCCAATCATGCTGTCCTTGAGCCTGTATTTAAATTCCATGTACTTATTACTGTGTTTCACAAATGAGGACAATTAGTGTTCACCTCACTAGGCAGGAAAATAATGCAGTCATGCCAGTTTGGGACAAAACTACTTTTTTATATAATTTATGAAAGAAGAAAATACAGATACCTTGTATTTTTCCTTAAATGGTGTTAACATGTGCAATACACAGAAATGAAGCAGGAAATCACTGCTTCCCTTGCCTGTGAATCATCCCAGTGCCTTTACCCTCACTGGCCAGACATCAGAGGGGTGGGATCAGGTTTACTGAACAATTGGGTTGAGTACTTCCTATAATGAAATGTGTGGTGTAATGTGGAGAAATATTAACAAAAGAGTTACAGTGCCCTTCTGTACATATTTTATACCTTATTCATTGTTTTTCTTTCCATATCCTTTAGAATGTGTTCAGGTCTAGTCCATAACTGCTGTGGACTTTCTACTGTGGCACTTGCTGTTGTTATGTCTACCTCTGTGATGCACCAAAATGGACATGATTAGGGGACAAAACCAAGCCTCTTAAATGATTCTAAACAGCATTTAATACACACAAACATGAATTAAATGCAAGAACTTACTCTACTGTTGCTGTACAGTAGGGAACAGATCAGTAACAGAGACAATAGAATAGTCATGCTTTTCATGCAAGTTTCGTGCTTTTGCTTAATCCTTGTGTAATTTCTTTTAATGAAAGAGTGCAGCTAATGTGTTTGTTCCTTCAGACTACTAATAACTATTACATAGGTTATCTAATGATAATTGAATGCAGTGAGAGGGGGAGCTTGGTTTTTTTGAAACCTCACAGGTAACATAAGAATTAATCATAAGTTAAATGTGGGTTTTTAAACTCATAAATAGCCCATATGCACCCATATTTGCATGTCACAAAACAACCTCCAGTCTAGGTGAAGCTGAGAAATATAGCTATCTTGTATAAGTTGAGAAGTACCAAAAACCCACAATGTGCTACTGTTATATACAAATCAGATCAGGATACCTGAGTAAAGAAATCTTAGTCCAGTATTGCAGACCAGACTGATTTGAAATCAAGATTCTTTAAATCACATTTCCCACTGATCTGCTTTCAGTTATTTCCTCAACCATGGTGCAGATCTGTATTTAATCTTTAAAATATCCCTATAGAGGGTCTTTCTCATATCAGTCACTTATGACAGTTTGATGTTAACAATACACTGTTACACATCCATTCAAAGCATGTTCCACTAAGTTCAATTGGGCTTATTCCCAGACAGATGGTTACAGGATTGCAATCTAAATATCGGGATACAGGCAAATTCTCACTGGACAACTTTGTCATCTTTTACTTTCCAGTGTTCATTTTTGCTTCACCCTTCCAAAAACCAAGTAAGAAACAAAAGTAAATGCCTATGACTGATAGGAGGAAGCAAGATATAGCTACTGGGCAGACTAAAGCAGTTTATTTTTGTCACATGAACATGCATTGCTTTTCAGTAGAGGTCTTAGAGGTTAATTGCCAACATGCTTATATCCAGATTATTTACAATTAAACTAGTACTATATTACTAGGAAACATAGTAAGAGCATTTTTAAATTAAAAATTGGATTTGGTTTTTTAAAATTGTGCAAAACAACCATAGCCTGCATAGGCCTGGAAGGGTATTGAACAATATCCAACACCAGGCTAGTTGATATTCCTGCCACAGTGAAGTACAATCTATTGGCTCTTGTTGCTTGTTGTGCTCATCTAGATCTGCATGCTACACTAGATGAGGAAAGAGAGGTATTGGTTTAGAGGACTAACTTACTGATCAGCATTGGAAGTACTTAAGTGTATTGGAACTACTGCTTGTGTACTGATGGAGATAGCTGAAGAAAACACACTGGGGAAGAACGGGCATCTACATCCATTGTGGTTTCCATATTCCTGGTGTTTTGTTTCTTTTCTTTGTTATTTGCAGTGTGATCCCAGTCAAGTGGCGATCATGTCAACATATCCAGTCAGGATTGTTCAGTGTTGCAAAAAGGACCCTGTTGACTTGACACTAGGTTGACACAATCTCTCCCCTACTAACAGAATCATAGAATAGTAGCGTTGGAAGGTGCCATGAAGGCCATTGGGTCCATCTCTTTAGGCAGCTGGTTCTACTGTCATATTGCTCTGACAGTGAGGAAGCTTTTTCTGATGTCCAGCCTGAATCTGGGTTGTCGCAACTTGAGTTGATTATTTTATTTATTTTTTATTTATTAAAACATTTCTATGCTGATTATTCTGTGTCCTACACTCTGGCATCAGCAAGAAGAGATCTTGACCTTCTTCTTTGTGACAGCCTTTGAGGTACTTATAGGGGGGTTTTGTGTGTGTCCCCCCAAGTCTTCTCAAGGCTGAACATGCCCAGTTCTCTCAGTCACTCCTCATAGAGCAAAGTTCCAAACCCTAGATCAGACCTGGGCATTGTACGGCCCACGGGCCACATCCGGCCTGATGGCTGACCCTGACTGGCCCACATGAGGTCACTGGCAAATTAAAAGTCAATGCAAATATATATCGTCCTAATATAGATGCAAGCAATACAACTGCACTGCTTTTATTTTGAAGGATCTGCTAAATTGAATTGAATTTATTGCTTTTCATGTAATGTTAATGTTTTTGTGAATATTCATTAAATAGTGTTCTGTGCTCCACATTTTCATTGTATCATTGTAATGTTTCATTTACTGTTTTTATAGAGATATATATTGAGCAGAGCTGTAAGTGTATTGGTCCGGCCCTTAACATGTGGCCCCATAGAAAAATTATTTGCCCACCCCTGCCCTAGATTATTTTTGTTGCCCTCCTCTGGACCTTTTCTAATTTATCTGCATCTTTCTTAAATCTTGGTGCCTAGAACTGGACAGAGTATTCCAGATGAGGTCTGACTAGTGAGGAATACAGAGAAACTACTACTCGTTCAGATTGAGGGAGATAATTGATTTCATTTGCTATCACTTGATGTCATGCAGCCAAATATGATTGTGTGATTGATAACTTTAATAGTAATTTTTAAGACTATGCAGTTGAAGGATGGCAGGTGGGGAGGAGCCATAGCTTGGTGGTGCAGCACAAGCTTTGCATACAGACAAACTCAATTTCTATCTCTGGCATTTCCAGTTAAAAAGATATAAAACAATATGAAGCAGCAGACTATCTCAAGATCTAGAAGAATCATGTCCAATCAAAATGAGCAACACCAATCCAGATAGGCCACTGCAGCTTTATACATTCAAATGTAAACTAAGTTAGTTGTGTTTTTGGATCAGTACTCTTTTTTCCAATAATAGTTGCACAACCTTGTTTTGAAACCCCACCAACTCTACAAATTAGCCTGAAATAAATTTAAAGCTAAGAGGGGAAAAGGTTTATTTTGCTTATTAAAGTTATATCCTGCTTTTTTCTTTTTTAAAGAACTCAAAGCAGCTTACATCATTCTCTTGCTCTCAAACTAATCCCCACAACCCTGTGAGGTAGATTGGGCTGAAAGTCTGTGACTGGTCCAAAGTCACCCAGTTGGTTCCATGGCTGAGCAGATCACCTGAGTCCCAGTCCCATGCTCTTAACCACTATACCACGTTGACTGTCACATCACATTACACTTTATCGTAGTGCTGGTTTGTAATATGTATATTCAAAGATTTGCAGTGATTCTATCTTACTGTGGGACTTAACATGCTGCATACACAGAACTAGAGGTAGACAGATTCCAATTTGTGGAACTGACTGTCATTGTTTACTAGAATCCTAAGTTCCTACGTCTAGGGCATGGTTCAAAAGATGCAAACTTAGACCAAATAATTCTGAGCCCAAAAGTATGTTTTAATGGTGATCACAGTCCTTTCACACAAAAATCCACTCTTGGTTATATTTCCCCATCCAGCTTTCCTTAGTTTTGTATCTTTAGGGTAGGGTAGAAATCCTTGCTGATCTATTGCAATATACTAGTCTGCCAGTATATCTTGATCTACCTCCTACCTAACCCTAAACCTCTACTCAAGGAATTCTGTATTTGGACTAATTATCTTAATGGAAATAGGCTTGGCATTATACCCAACTGCTAATCTGCTAGCAGAATGGATTTCCCCTTCTCCTAAAGCTTCACTTACACCCAACATCTCTGTAAAATTGGGGGACCCACTAGAACAGATTTGGGCATAGGGGAATCTTTATGGGGGATAGAGGATGGGAAAGTGCCACTTTGTGAGCAAGTGTTCTGTTGTGTGAGCAGATTTTGGCTTGTGCAACAGTTAATTTGAAATATTTGAGTGCCTCCTTCTGGAAGGAGTAATATATGTTGTTCATTGGCACATTGCAAACTCTGTCCTAATAAAAGCTCAAACTAGGATTGCAATGATCTCCCCTAAATCTGCCCATTTTCTGTTTGCCAGACTTCTGGAGAGGAAGTCTGCAAATGCTCATGGAAGTCCAGTTGCACAGCTAGCAACCTCCTCCAGCATGTGCAGCACAAAGGCTGCAAGTCATGGGTGTAGAAGAGGGATGCTGCTTCTGCAGTGTTCACATAGGCTTGATTCCTGGTGGGCTTGATTCTTGGAAGACTCCTGTGCATCTGTTCAGTGCACTCGCCAAGAGGTTGGACTCAGGGTTGTGAGAAAGTGGGCTGGAGTCCAGGTAGCTAAGCTCAGGGAATCCAATGGATTGCTGCTGCCTAAATGAATTCCTCACACATCACTATCTCAGACTTAAATGAGAGTGGCTGTTATCATCTAGTTCAGTAATTTACAGTCTCATCCTTTGTCAGATTGCTAAAGTGGAAAAGCTGAAGCCTCTGGAGCTGGAACTACGACGCCTAGAAGATCTTTCAGAATCTATTGTCAACGACTTTGCCTATATGAAGAAGCGGGAGGAGGAGATGCGGGATACCAATGGTAGGTAACTGTGCTGCAAGTCGGAGAACAATGTCATTGATATCTCACACATTGATATCTCACACACTAACTCATACTGTCATAATTTTTCCTTGATGTCTAGTCTGTAGTCTAGATAAGGCTCTGTGAGGCCATGTAAATGGGACAGTCCACTTGTTTGTAGATGCATCTACTTCTGAATTTACTGTCATGATTATTGAACATTTCACTTGATAAGTATTTTCTTATCCTGCTGCCAGTAAACCTTCTTTGCAGCAACTTACTAATATCAATCAATTTCTTTTCTCTCTACTCTCTTTGGATTCTCTCATTTTTTCACCAACAATGAAGGATGTTTGAATACTGCCCTAAGAAAATGCAATTCCATGTTTGAGATAACATGAGTTCAGTAATCAAATGTATGTAATGTATTTCTGTAAATAGTTTTCATGCAAAGCTTCCATGCATCCCTGAACAGTGAAGCCTTTCACAGACACTGCATTATTTTCAGTAGCCATGAGACTTAGGATCATGAATTGTGCTTATCATTGAGAGAAATTTTGAGTTTCTGCTCAAAAAGCTATGTTACGCTTATACGCCTCTCCAACTTTTTTTGGTACTTCAATCTATGTCAGTGTTTTAAGTGAAAGGATACTAGACCAAGAATGCCAAACCAATTTGAGTTGGACACCACATTGTCCTGTGAAGGTCCTGGTAGTAGGCAAACTCCATTGCCCACCCATTTAGCCTCTCTCAGTACTAAGAGGTAATGCATAGAGTCACTCTATGTCACTCCTCCCAGGTTTGCAGTGTTGTCCCTATGAAAGTGTTGTGTGACAGGACACAGCCAGAGCTGGAAAGGTCTGCTCCTGTGAGTGCCAGTCACTTGCCATCTTTATACCTGCTGCTTTCTGTTAGATTGGTTTTATGCAGGGGCAAGGTTCCTCATGTCTATAATAGCTGTGGGGTCAAGTAATCAAGGACTTGGGCTTTATAGTAATTATTCTAAGTAACAAGTTTTTCTTTTTTGTTTCAGAGTCTACCAACATTCGGGTACTATACTTCAGCATTTTCTCAATGTTCTGCCTCATTGGACTGGCTACTTGGCAGGTCTTCTATCTGCGCCGTTTCTTCAAGGCCAAGAAATTGATTGAGTAGCCAGAGGGACAGTTTCCCCTCCTTTAAAACCCCAGTGGAACAACACAGTGACCCAGCTATGGCTGTTTAGAGGCACCTGGGAATTGACCTGCCAAATGGAGCTTTTTCCTGCAATCGACCCCTAAAGGGAGGGAGGGAATAAAATGAGGAAGTTTCTGAACTGCTATTGGATAGATTTGGGAGGGGTGGAAGTTGTATTTTTGGGGGACTCTTGGACAGGGATGAAATAAAACTGTCTCGGACAGCTGCTGTTGGCTTTTGCGCTGTCTCTTTCTCTCCTTCACAGGTAACACAAGTGACATCTTCTTAATGTCACCAAACTGATCCTCTAAACCACTTGTGAATACAGAAATTGTTTTTTTTAAGTGTTTCATTTATTTCCCCACAGAGCTTTGTGTTAAATGACTCTAATGCTCTTGGAGTCAGATCTTCCAGAAGTAGATCTTGCTTCACAATTATTAGTAGCTACATTTCAACTGTGGGAAAAGTGACCAGTGGCAATACTTTTCAAAATATTTGATACATTGTTAGTAGGAGCAGGAAGGGCATAAGGGAAATAAATGCTTAGTTTATAGAAGAAAATCTTCAAGTATAGACTTCTCAGGCTTTTGTTCATCTTATCACATTCTCTGTTCTAAAATGCTGCAGCTCTGGAAGCAGCTTAGATACTGTGAAAGGCCATCTGTTTAATTTTACAAAGTACCTACCAGATGCATACTATGAAATGCATGCTCAGGTCAATTCCTTTGTGTTGGTTGGGTATCTGCCTCTTTTATCTGCCGAAGGTATATGTAAAATTGCTACTTGGTCAGTCTCATACTTGCCTGTAACAAACTTTAAATCAAGTTGCATCCTTGTATTTGTAGTCTTGCATCCATGTACATTAATACTCCAATGCATCATGGCAAGGGAAATGAGCCAGTGGGAGAAAATGTAGGTGAGCTGTAGTTTGTTCCTAAAGTTTAAACATTTGCACTCTTCCTGTTCTCTACAAGTTTCAGGATTTATATCAACATCAAATGTACCTTCCATGCGATGGTTCTGAATCACACCTGGTGATTATATGTGGCTAGCACAACACCTGTTCAGCCTCATTTTCATAGAAAGTGTCCTGCTCCTACAGTAGCCTGTAGTTTCTGGCCCCCATACATATACATAAAATAAGATGCATAGAACAGGTCTCCTCTATAATTTTTTAAATGTCAGCAATATGACACTGCTTCACAGGCCATAGTGGGTAGGGAGCAGGGGTTATTAGGTTAACTAATTAACTGATACTCTTTTTCCACCATGGCCTCAGAAATTCAAAGGTACAGATTGTTTTCCTCAGTTCTTCCACAAATGAAGGAACATAAAAAAGAACATTTCCTGATGGCAGAAGAGAAACATTTATTTGTTACTTGACTTAAATATTGTCAAAAAAGGTGAGGCAACATGGAGAGAGGGGTGCTCACAAGAGAATATTTAAATGTAAAGACTTACACTGAAACCTCAGGTCTTTCTTGGGTCCTTTTCTGGTGCCCCCCCCCCCCAGCAATCAGTTTAGTGAGTTTTGCCTGCAAGTGCTCAGCCTTGCTTCTAAATTCAGATTTCTGCTCTTTCTACAGTTGCAATGTAAAATGGAAATGGAAGGTTAGCCTTTGGGGAACATCTATTTTAGATTCTCCTTACTGACATGTCACTAGCAAGTTCGCTAAATTTAAAGGAAACTTAACAAACTTGTGTAGTAGTGATTTCTTGTTCATTCTTCTGACCTTGCCAATTATTTGCCAGTCAGAACTGATCTTTTTAGATAGGCGAAGTGATGACCTGATATCCATGCTTTATGCCTTAGTGTCTTTGCTACAGTATGTCCAGAATTCATTCCTAACTCTTGTGGTATAATTAACACCAACTAGAAAAGGTTGTGGAAACCTGTACAGATTTATCTGTAACAAGTGGTTGGGATTTGTAATTTTTCTATACATTTTTGGGAAAGGATTTTCCTCAGATCAGTGTCTCCATAAATCTCTTGATCCCTTACCTTAACTAATTAGCTTTTTACTTCCAGCCTTTCTAATTATATTATTTTGCACGGTATGAAGCCTGCCACAAGACTTACCCTTCCTACCAGAAGAAATTTAGGATTAAGTAGGAGGTCGAACATGAGCAACCTGCAGCTAAACCCCAAAACTATCCAAAATACCACACAGGCCCCAAATTGAAAGAGAGTACTTTGGTTCTTTAATTAAATTAGTGGTCTCCAAATTTAAAACCAAGCTCGGCAGCTATTTTGTCAGTGTATCAGTTAAATCAATTTCAAGGAAGATACCGTTCCAGAAAACTGTGCATAAGTGATAAAGCTGTGACGATATTAATACTAACTTGTTCAATGCCTGGAGCAGAGATTGCTTGTAAATTCTTTATATAAGGCAACGAGTTCCTGAAAGTATAATAATGTATGTGTGTTTAAATTAGTGATGGTAAACTTCATTAATGTCAAAGATCCAGTTCTTGGGCTTGGTGGCTGGAGAGGTTGTACACAATGTACCTCATTTGTCAGTTAATATAATTAGAGGCTATTTTTAAGGTGGAACATAAGAAATTAAGTACAGAGAAGTTCTTAAAAGTTTATGTTATAAAAGTTGCTAAATCTATTTTCTCAAGAAAAAAAGGTAAATAAGATTGTTGTCAAAGTCAGTCTGTACTTGCTGCTTCTCTCATCTTTGCAGATGCTTTTCTTGCTGTGTTTGGCCAAAAAAACATAGCCATGCTGGCAAAGGCAGCATCCTATATGGCAATATGCAGGCCCACACACATCACAAAGTAATACTTCAGCTGAAGGATGGTGTAAGGTACATGGACACCTCTCCACATTTTTAAAGCCAACACTAAACATCCCCTATACAGAATTCTGCCCATGCTTCATGGGCATGAGAGTATTTGCATGGTTATTGGTCTAAGGAAAACAAGTAGAAATGCCTTTTTTAGTACAGTAGTAAACACAAGGCGTGCACTGAATTTTGACAGGGCACAGAAAACTCAAATCTTTTCACATGCATAAGTGGTGCTTAGGTGTGGATTTGGAGAGAGAGGGAGCAGATTCAGCAATAGAAGGCTGAGATTCAGCTATCTCTCGAATACTAGAAGGGCTATTCAGGGCTAGTTTGTATATGTGTGTGCATTTGGCTTCTCTGCCAAAAATACAAATTGATAACTTCAACAGGAAGAAGTGCATCATTCATGAAATGTTTCTGTTCTCATTTAACTATTAATGCATTATAAAAGTATGAATGGGGGTGGGGGGACCTGCCTACTTGTATCATCATAGGTACTGGGTGGAATATAGAGGTGGTAGTGTGATCCTGACCTTTACATTGATCATAGTTCTTCATTGTCTCTGTGCATCACACATACGGGAACTTCACCTGCACGGTGCTTTAATGGATAGGCACCAATTTTGTAGCTCTCCAATGCATCTATGTTGATTCATAGGCCAAGAATGAAGTTGTTAACAAAATAGCTCCCCTTGCAGCATTCAACTTACTCCCAATCAAAATTAATGTTTCTACAAACGATTTAACTATCTGAATAAGGATTTAGAAAGGGGCTTTTAAACTGGTAACAGACAATATAGTTTATCTTTTTATGTTTATTTGCTTAGTCCCACTGCACCAAAAGCTTATGACCAAAGCACCTGTTGGTGGGGGTGCAAACTATAGAGAAATTTTTGGAGTTTATAGCTTCATTTGAAAATAAAAGTGCAAACATACCCACCCAGTTTATTTCATCTACCAACTGTGGGGCAAGCTTTCGTATAAAGATCTTTTTTTATATCATTACCATCCTACATGACATTAAACCAGTTTTTGTGAGACATAATGTAATTAATGCCTAAAATGTAGTAATTTGTTGCAAACTGCATTGCAACACTGAATTTACCAGACATATTTTTGTTCACTACACCCATGTTGAAAGATCAACTTTTGTGTAATGAAAACAAGGAGTTATGTGCCACCTTTTAAGATTAACAAAGGGCATGGTCAGCTACTGAGAGTTACAAGATTTTTTTCTCTCTAAATATACATAGGATTGTGCCCCAGTGATTAAGGCATAAGCTTCTGTGGACAGACTCCATTGTGCAATTAAAGTTCAAGGGAGAATTCACTGGCTATTTTGACTCTGCAACTTGTGGAAAAGATTATGGCTAGGTTTATAATGATAAAAGTTAGAAAATTAAAGAGAATGTGAATACTTAAGATATCCTGTATATGACCTGATGCGTATGACATCTTTGAGGCAATATAAGAAACAGCCTTTGAGAAAATACTGGAACCATGTGTTAAGAGAATCTTAGATTGTTCTTTGTGGTCACTGTAACTCATACATAAGGCTCATGTACCTGTGCAAACCAGTCTTTGAGGATGTTCTAGAGCTAAACAATTTTAGGTGGGAACTCTGATCATTTCTTCTGTGCATTCCTCTCACTTGCTTCCAGGTTCATTTTTATCTGCTACAGTTACTGGCAGCATTTGGAATATTTCTCACACCTCATAGGAAAAGCTTCCAAAATTCTAGTCTCTTGCTAGGATGATGAACAGTTTCTTTTTTCCCCTTCTCTTCCTTTTCTATTTTCTGAGTTGTCTTAATTTAATTGCCCCTTCAAGGCACATGACCTCCAAGGCCTTCTTCAAAACTTGCACTCACGATGAAGGGAAGATACCATTTACTGACTGTGCCTTGGAGAGCCACAATAGGTACTTAAGTACTCACTCATGAAGCAGGTCAGGACAAATGGAACAACACACCTTGAGGCACTGCAGTGGGAACAAATGCTGACATCAGCAGACACAACCACACTGAACTATCCTTACATATTGCCTCGGTCTTCTTGGAAGTCAGCTCCAACTCTCTTGTAGCGTCTTCCAGTGCATACTATGGAATGCACTTCAGAGCAACCACTCCCACTATTGGGAGAACTCATCTCTGCTGCACTGACAGCTTTGACCATCCCTTTGGACTAACATACTGAAACCAGCCTTTCAGTAGTGGTGGTTGAAACTAGAGCAAGTCCTTTAATAAAATGTAGCTAATGCCAGGACCAAAAAAACAAAAAGACAGCTTTTAGGATAGAGTCCAACATCAACCACAAACCGCACTGATTCCAAGCTGGTCACCACCAACACAGAAGGTACCTCAAGTGCTTATCTGATCACTGATCAATACTGATTTCAGAGAAACTACATCTCCCATAGGACCATAAGAAAAGCAAGGCTCTAGCATTCTGTCTGCACAGCCACCAACCAGCTGCCCACAGAAAATACACAAGTAGGATGTGTGTAAAAGCCTCTTGCCTAAATTTTCCAGCAACTAGTATCCATGAGTTCTAATACTGTTTGTGAGAGAAAAATGTCTACCCATTTTGTCCATGCCATGCATACATTTGATTTTTTCTGTCATGTCTCCCCTTAATTGCCTTTTTTCTCAACTAGCTGTTGTAGACTTTCCTCATAGGGGAGTTGCTCCAGCATCTTGTTATATTTGCTCTTTTCTGCCCTTTTTCCAACTGCAATGTATAGAGTAAGTGTAGGAACCAGAATTGTATAGATTATTCTAAGTGTGGTAACACTATAGACTTGTTTTAAGGGGAGTACCATACCTCCTCAGAGAATATTCAGTGCCTTGACTTGGTATTGCAAAATGAATGCTGGGGATGTTTCTTGCCAGAACTGTATTATTGTCCCCCTTGAGCTTGTTCCTGATGAAAGTATAGATCACTTTTCATGGCCTTGCTGGAGGTTTTCTCCTTGATACACCACACCCATGCTCCTACAAGGCTCCTTCCCATTATTATGAAGCCCCACTGAGATGTCATCATTGTGCAAATTGAGACAGAGAACTCCTGTCTCACCAATGTTCTTGTTGCCCTCAATGTTCTTGTTCCTTTTTTGCTGCTAAAAACTTCTGCTGTGGTTTCTGGTAATATTCAGTAACTAAGTTACAGTGTTACTAAGCTTTATGAAACTGCTTCTTGCTCTATGTCATCCTCTTCTGGCCAACTTATTTCAGAGATAATCCTGAAAAGCTCCTGGTAACACCAGCTGCCTTACAGTCACGCCTGGCAGTAAAAGTCACCCAGCAACCACTGGCTTCTACCACAAAGACACTTCCTATTGTCCTCTGGAACAAGATGACTTTGCTCAGATACATCTTTCACATGTCTGTGCAGGCATCAGCATCCTCACCGGATGCTGCTGAAGGGAATCAAAATCCTCTCTCCCTTTTGGATATCACATGCAGTGCCAATTTTCAGAATAGCAAAATCCCTCAAGCAAGTTATTAGCACCCTGCCAGCCCCATTTTCAGATCCAGTCTTAAAAAAAACACAACCAGACTTACCTCCACCCATTACTGTCCTGAAGGTTCCAACATTACTGCATATAATTAAGCAGTCCTGAACAAAACATGCTTCTCTCCCACCTATGTCTAAGAAACCCAGAAAACATATAGGGTCTTTCCCCTTCAAACACCCCATACCATAAAAGAAATAGACTAGTCAAAGATGAGATAAAATCCTCATTCTGCTCCTGTGGATTCAGAAGGAAGGAAATTTGATTCAGTGAAATGTAGGTAGCATACTATAAGGTCTGCATGACAGCCTACCAACAGTTCTTACAGGAAAAAAACAGCAATCTTTTACTATCTCCGAGATAATGTAAAAAAAAATCCACTAATTTACCATATCTGTATAAACAGCATCAGTGGTCCCCTCAGCACCAGTCTGACTCCGGCTCAAATTGAACTTCCAAACAAGGTTCATATTTCTATTATTCAGAAGGATACTTTCAGAACAAATACTACTAATTCATTTGTGGTAAACAGCCTGACCAGTGCAAAGGGCATCTTTAAATCTGCAAAGGAGCTGAACCACTAGCTCCTTTCCACCAGAAATGATGCAAAATCTTTCTCCTCACATAAAAATCCTTCACCAAAACCAAGTGAATAGTTTTTATCATCATTTCTGACTATTCCATTGAATCCAAAGATACTCCCCCACCCTTTATGGGGATCTTCTGCTCTTCTTGTGTAACTCAGGTTCTAGGAGAAGAAATCACTCCTCTCTTGAGCAAGGGCACAATGGAAGAACTCTGTCCTGATCAAATGACAGGGAGGAGTCACACGTGGACCATGTACAGACAAGATGGGCCCCTAAACCTTAGTTTACCCTTAGAATGTTCCAATTGGCTGTTCTGCACCTATGAATTCATGGATGACCGCTCAAAGAACCAATTACAATTAAACAATGTGCACTTACCAGTTATGAAATATATTTCTTGTTACCTTTATAAAGGCAAAGGGCAGTTTTTGTGTGTGAGAGTGCTTATTTTATATGTATGATATAAAACAATAAACTATATTTTTTAAAATCCAGTACCCTGTCTCCAGTAGTGACTAATACTGTTTATTATGAAGAATGTTATGCAGTGGTGAAGCATGGTACTGGAACACTCCATTCTCTTCATGTAGATTTATTATGGCAGTAAACCTATCTATACGAAGCAGGGAGCAATCCCACTGATTGTAGCCTGATTGTCAGCTTATTGGGGCAGTTTGGCAATTCATAGCAACCCTTCATGGTGGTGTACCATAATGGGCTGTTGTGATATGTGGGAGCCGGTCTAATCATTTGTTCATTTTGCTTTCCTTTTCTGCACCTTTTCCAACTCTTCAATATCCTTTTTGAGGTCTCATGACCAAAACTATACAAAAATGTCCATGTGCGCTCACACGATAGATTTGTATAAAGGCAGTATGATATCAGCAGTTTTCTGTGCAGTTGCTTTTTTAGTTATACCTAAGATTGAATTTGCCTTTGTTAGAGTAGCTACACACCAGGACAACTTTATTGAACTATGCATCATAACTCCAAGATTAGTTTCTTCATCAGTGACACATCCCATCAGTTCATATTCAAAGTTTTTTCCCTTGTTTTGCCGCAGCTTCCATCACTTTGTACCTGCTTTAATCCTCTTTCTTCTGGGTTAAAGAAATCCTTTTGGAGCTCTTTGCAAACCCTTTTTCTTTTAACCACCCTAAAAATAGATGCCATCAGCAAAATTGGTCACCTCACAAGTTAAAAAGAACTAGTCCCAGTATGGGTCCTTTTAGGACACTGCTGTTTATATTCCACAGGCCAAAGACATTTTGCTGCATGAGCTGAAAAAGACAACGACCGCCCCCTCTCATTGTGTGTACCAAAGCTGATTAGACAGGAAGGGGAATCTTTTTTTAACACAGGCAATGGAGCAACATCCTCCTCTACACCTAAAGGCTGCAGGCTTGTTTCGGAAGAAAGAGTACGCTGTATAGCCCACAAATCTCCTCCAGCATCTTGCTGCTGCCTCCCAAGATTTGCTGCCTGAGATAATTGCTCCACTCTGCACCACTTGTAGATCTCCTACTCTAGTCCTTTTGTTCTTTAACTGTTTGCTTTAATAAGTCTTCTTCCACGGTAGGTGATTGAAGCCCCATTGGTGAGGGTGTTCAAGGATAGGCTAGACATGCACATAATAGGCATATCATGAGTGGAGCCGGCTGGAGCTGGGGGTCAGACTAGATGGCCTGGGAGACCCCTTCTGACTCGCTCTGTTTCTGTTTCTTTTGTTCCATGAATCTATCAAAGTTTGGTGCAGAGAATTAGGAAGGTGTTTTGGAGGGTGGAAAAAGTGTCAAAAGAATTGAGGTTGACAACTAATTGCTAGGAACTGATGCTGCAGTAATAATTATTTTCCTGCTAGTTAGTAAAATGATTGGTATGTTAAAAATAAGACCATTGGTTCTCTTTTTTAAAAATTTTCATTACCATAATGTTCAAAAAATTGCTGTGCCTGAGGGGAAAGGTGGGCATTGAAGCCAATGTGATAGAAGAAAGATTAGGAAAGATATTGCAAATATGAAGGTTTGCAAATATGAATCTTTTAACAGCATGAAGTTAGTTCCTGTAGTTCCTGGCAGTGTAGTGGGACTTACTGCCAGGTAATTGCATATAGGGTTACAGCTGGAATATTTATTTGGCTCAATTCGTTTCATATATTGCACACCAGTTCATATGGATAAATGGAATGGCTTATATTGGTCTTTGTCTTATTTTAGGATGCTTTCCTATGTGTGTTTAGACAGAAAAAAAATTCCTACAACTCATAGTATTTCCCAGCAACCTTACCAGACTGGGGAATGTCAGGAGTTGTAGGACTTACGTCTAAAAACATATGATTGCAATCTTAGACAGTTTATGTTGGAAAAGGCTGCATCATATATTCTGATGACTTTCTTATATCCTTTACCTCAGTTTATTTTTTAAAATTTAAATAGCTTTAATAAGCAAACCATCCTAGCCATATAGACAAAGAATAGCAAGGACAAACCTTGAGATGCAAGAATTATAGTCGTTGGACCAAGAATGACAGCCCCTGGGAGTAGATCAATGGTTTCTGGTAGTGGAATGGAGAACCCTGAGAGGCTAGGCTGATGGCCTCAGAGATGGCCACTGCAGCCCCAGGCCTATCACCTGCAATATAAATACCCAACAGCCTTGTTACTGGTCACCATTTCACTCTCTCAGTGTAAATAATAAGGCATGAGTATTTAAGAGAATGTGAACCCATCTTTGAAAATATCAATATTCTTCCAAAGCGATTTTAAGGAAATAAAAAAATCCTTCTTCCCGCTTTGTTGTAGCTCGCACTGATTTCAAGGGAGGGGCTGTTCTGCCGACTGGCACCCGCATTTCCCATAGCGCTCTATGGGTCTTCAGGTAGCTCCCGTTGCTACTAATGGGCATTCTTGTCATTCATTCAAGTACGTCCTGGCAGTCCCAGCAATCCTGGGTTCTTGCCAGTAAATTGTGGATGGATCCGCTCGCATTTTGCAGCAGGAAAGCCTCCTCAGTCAGCGACTAGTTTCTCCTCCCAAAGCAAGCCGCAGACCCTTCTGCTCCCTCTGTAAAACCCTCAAGCTCTCTGCTGTCTTATTTCTTCTTCGCACAGTTCTGCTTTGAGGCGCCACTCCACCCCCGCTTGTGCGGGTGCCCGCGCGGCAGCGGGAACGCGGCGGGGCCGAAGTGGTTCCGGGTCGGTGGAAGAAGCAGCCAACATAGTGTTTGGGGGCTGAAGGGCCTCGGGGAGGCCGGTGAAGGGGGCAGTCCGGGGGACCCTGTCTGGGTTGAGGCCGGGAGAGGGGTGCGCGCCTGCGCAGAGCCCCTCTGAAGCTGCGGCGGCGTCTGAGGCAACAGCAGGAAGCTTGCCCACCATCACCCTAGAGGGGGGCCGTAACGCCTCTTTATCCCTGCAGGGCTTCCCCTTAGCGTTCCCTCTCTTGGTCCTCGGCAGGCGGCAGCGGCTGAGCAGCCATGTCGCTGAACCAGTACGAGAGGCACTGCGACTCCATCAACTCCGACTTTGGCAACGAGTCGTCCAGCAGGAGCGGCCCCCGGCCTGGCCCCGGCCCCGGGCCTGTCTTTGGCGGCGAGCAGGAGGAGTTGCATTATGCCCCCATCCGTGTTCTGGGCCGGGGGGCCTTCGGAGAAGCCACGCTGTACCGCCGGACGGAGGTAAATCTGTGCCCCTCCCCCCGTATCCTCCTCCCGTCCTTTTCCGCCGCATTCAGTGAGGCCTCCCTTCCAAGACCCCCGTGTTTCACCTCCCTCTTTGTCGGAATCCCTGCGCCTATAACTCATGAACGAGCGCTTGTATTAGATGTCCAGTAGGATTTCTGGGTCTGGTGAGGTTATGGGTACGGGACCTCCACTCCATTCCCACCTGTAATTCGTTTTCTTGTTGCTGTCGTTGCAGTACTCCCGCGTCTCCCCGAGCTAGGCCACTGTGATCCCACATTTTTGGAAGTGTGGTGGTTGAAGATGAAAGCTGGTGATTTCCCCAAAAGTCTTTACACGCTTAGGCGGAAATCACTATTTCCGCAGGTTTTAATTACTGGCAATTCTCTGCGTCTCAAAGGAATAGTAATTTCCTGCTGTGTTGGACTGTTGTGAGGTGTGAAGAGCGGGGTGGGAGGAAGTATGAGCTTTGTGGACAAAACCATCTGACATATGAGGTTCTCTGGGGCATTGGGGAATTTTTTTCCAAAATGGCGGATGGAGGGGGGTTCACTTTAAAAAAATAAACACAACAGCTCCTGGCTTAGTTCTTTTGATGTTTTCTTATGCTTTCCCTGGACTCTCTCTTATTATTCCTTCTTTTATCTCCAAGCCAAACCTTTGTATCTCCTTTCTCTCTACCCCATTTGGAATATAAATCTATCAGTGGCTACTAACTGTGATGGCTAGTATCTGAGGGAGTGTGCCTTTCAATACCACTTGCTGGGAAATACAAGTGGCTGGATGGTATTGCAGACATGTTCTACTTGTGGATTTCCCTTGGGCATCTTTGTGTTCTTGGTATATGTAGAAGGTGTTCTGTATCTTTTTCCCCACCTGACCCTGTTCATGCGGCAGTCCTCCCACTGCACATTCTGTAGTTTTTCTCTTCCTGCCCTGTACATTATTTAACATTTTCCTCTTCCCCATCTAAATGTGCTTAATGCCTGAAAGAAGATATGCTGGGACTCAGGCCTTACAGCTCTGCACTTGAAACCCCACTCTCTAATCCCATATGTGTTGGGTTATTGGTGTCATTGCTTAGCTACTACATGCCCAAAGATGCAGCAATGAGCCCTGTTTGCCTTTGGTATAGATTTAACTCTGTGGTTATCTAGGGCTAAACATTTTCTTCTGGGAGGGTTCCTGTGCCTTTTAGCAATTGCATGAGATAACCTTTTCCCAGGTAAGAAGAAAAAGCAGCAGTGGAAAAAAGTTTTTGCTGATTCAGCAAATGTATGAAGTAGGCCAGGCTTAGAGATACCCAATGGCCGAAAGTCACCCAGTGATTTGAACTTAAGTCCCCCAATATAAATCCAGTACTCTAACCTGTTATAGTACACTGAGAGCTGGCATCTTGCTGACTGCTTGGAAGGAGGTTTGTATTTAATCATGATGATGATAATATTAAATCAGGACCGAGATTTATATTCCAAATGGGGTAGAGAGAAAGGAGATACAAAGTTTCTGCTTTTGGAAAATTCAGGAGATACTACTAAGAACTTGGCATGGCTTTATCTAATCTAAATATGCCACTTGCACTTTTTAACTGAAAATAGCTGATGTTGCGTGTAGGGAGAATCCAGATCTGTACAGGGGTGAGTGTAATACATCCTGTGCTGCCCCTGAAACTGCTATTTGGCATGTAGGGAAATTTTCCATTGGTGTCAAATTATTAATTTCCATCCCTAATTGTCATTTTAAAAGCTATGGAATTTGTTTGAAAATTAAATATTACACAAGGATGTAGGAATGTTGTTTCCTTTCCAGCAGCTTCCTGTACCGGGAAAAGGAATGACAAAATGGGAAAGGCAAAAGAAAGAAGGCAGCTGTAGCACTGCATCATATTTCTGCAAGGATTTACAGCCATATCACTTACAGTTCATAGAGGCTGATAACAAAGGCTGTTCCTATGCTAATACAACAAGCACACCACTTAAGGAAGGATAAAGCTATAGAATGACCTTGAATTTTACTACCAGGAGGAAATACTGAAACTGAACGCCTCCTAGTTTTTACTGTCTTTTTCCTATAGAAGTTGTGCTTATAGAATCTGGCAGGACTAATGAGCTGATCAACTCCTGTTATGAAAATAGACTCTGTTTGGGTGGAGATGTGTATGAAATAAAAACACAGCTCCTTCCTTTGAAAAGCTCGTGTCATTTGATAATTATTCTAAAGGAAAAGAGTGTCAGTTATAGATACTGATTCTTGGCATCAGAAATTGGAAATGCCATTCAAATTCCATAGAGAATTGTTGGGTGAATCAGAAAGTGAATACAATGTCTTTTCTTCTACTAAGAAATATGAGCGTCCAGCCTTGAGGGACAGGGTATACACTTAATACATTAAACTAACTAAATATATTGTATTCTAGGATGACTCGCTTGTAGTATGGAAGGAAGTGGATCTTACCAGACTGTCAGAAAAAGAACGCCGTGATGCTTTGAATGAGATAGTTATCCTTGCTCTGTTGCAGCATGACAACATCATTGCCTATTACAATCATTTCATGGATAACACCACACTGTTGATTGAACTGGAGTATTGTAATGGTGAGAGTTCCATCTTGTAAACAGCAAACACCTCTTCCATCTTGGGTTCTGGGGAAAGAAAAAATATAAAGAGGCTATGTCTTGTTTATAGACCTGGCTGTAGTGGCAGATCTAGAAACACAAACCAGACTCATCTTGAGTTACTGCCATTTATATTCCACTGATATGTAATATAAAACACACTTGGTGGGAAGAAGAGCTTAGGGAAAAAAGATGAGATACTAGATGTGCAGCAAAGCAGGTACAACTTTACAGAGTATATTAAAAAAACATTAACAATGTACTGGAAAATAAGCAGTATTTCTTTTCCTAAGGTCCTACATTATTTCTGGACAGTGATATGACTAATTTATCAATGCCATGTGTCACTTTTACACAAATACATTTGTGGCAGGTGTCAAAGATAACAGAAAATAAAGATGTGGGATGTGTGGCACACCGACTGTTTTCAACATTTTCTTGGTAGCATTCTTTTCCTTATTGATTAAGGCTTAGAATAACAGAATAGTAGAGTTGGAAGGGGCCAGAAGGCCATCAGGTCCAGTCCCCTGCTCAGTGCAGGACTCCCAGTTAAACCATCCCTCTCAGATGACTATCCGATTGCATCTTGAATGCCTTTAGTGTTGGAGAGCCCACAACTTCCCTACGTAATTGGTTCCATTGTTGTACTGTTCTAACAGGAAATTAGATAGTTACTCAAAATCTGGCTTTCTGTCACTTGAACCCATTATTCCATGTCCTGCACTCTGGAAAGATCAAGAGATCAAGACCTTGTCCTTCCTCTCTGTGACAACCTTTCAAGTACTTGTAAAGTGCTTTAATATCTCCCCTCATTCTTCTCTTCTTGAAGCTGAACATACCCAGTTCTTTCAAATTCTCCTCACAGGGCTTTGTTTCCAGTCCCTGGATCATACTTGTTGCCCTCCTCTGAATGCTTTCTAGCTTGTCTGCATGTTTCTTAAACTGTGGTGCCCAGAACTGGACACAGATGAGGCTAAACCAGTGCTGAGTAGGTGGAACTAGTACTTCATGGGATTTGGAAGTGATACTTCTGTTAGTATAGCCTAAAAGCATTTGCCCCTCTTGCAGCCACGTCACATTGTTAACTCATATTTAGCTTGTGATTTACAACAATTCCAAGATCCTTGTCGCTTGCAATATTGTTGAGCCAAGTATTTCCCATCTGGTAACTGCATTTGGATTTTTTTTCTGGGTGCAGAACCTGGCATTTGTCCCTATTGAATGCCATTCTGTTGTTTTCAGCCCAGCATTCCAACCTGTCAAGATCACCTTGAATCTTCTTTCGGTCTTCCAGGGTATTAGCTATCCCATTTGTCATCTGCAAATTTGATAATGTTCTCTGCACTTCCTTATCCAAATCATTTATAAAAATGTTGAAGAGCATTGGACCCAGGACTGAACCCTGAGGTACCCCACTTGTTACCTTTCTTCAGTCTGAGCATGTGCCATTGATGAGTACTTTTTGAATCCAATTCTGTAGCCAACTGTGAATCCATCTGATAGTTGTTCCTTCTAGCCCACTTTTAGCTAGTTTGCTAATCAGGATATCATGGAGCATTTTGCTAAAAGCGGTGCTGAAGTCAAGATATACTATGTCCACAGCATTCCCACGGTCCATCAGAGAGGTTACCCAGTCAAAAAATGAAATCCGAAGAGTCGGACAGGACTTTTCCTGAGAAATCCATGTTGGCTTCTGTTTGCAGACTGACTGCTTTATAATCTGCTCCAGAATTTTCCCATGGATTGATGTCAGACTGACCTGTAGTTCCTAGATTCTTCATTTTTTCCTTTCTTGAAGGTATGGACAACATTGCCCCTTCTCCAGTCATCTGGTGCTTTCCCTGTCCTCTGATTTCTCAATAGACTGTGGTTCTGAGAGTTCTTCTGCTGGTTCCTTTACTACTTGAGGATGGAGTTCATCAGGCCTTGGAGATTTGAACTCATTTGACCCAATTATATGATCCTTGACCATTTGCCAGTCAATCTTGAGCTGCCATCTTTGTACTTCCTCTTTATCAGTAAGGTCATACTGGGAGAAGACTGAGCCAAAGTAGGAATTGAGCACTTCTGTCTTTTTTTTTGTCCTCTGTTATCATTTTGCCATCCACATTGAATAGTTGGACTCCTGTTTCTTTCCTCTATGTTTTACGCTGGACATATCTGAAGAAGGCTTTTTGTTGCTTTTAACATCTGTCACTAGCCTCAGTTCATTCTTAGCTTTAACCTTCCTGATGTCGTCCCTGCAATTCTGTGCTATCTGCTTGTATTCTACCTTAGTAGCCTGGCCTAAGTAGCCTTCCTATACAGTCCTTTTTTGTTTTCAGGTCATCTCTAAGCTTTTTGTGAAGCCACATAAGCTTTTCTTCTGTTGTCTTCCACCCCTTTTCCTTGTAGGAATTGCTTGTAATTCTGCCTTTAGAATTTCCCTTTTCAAACATGCTCACCCTTCTTGAACTCCTTTTCTCATTAGAGTCATTTGCTATGGGACTTTGCATATCATTGTTCTCATGTTTATTAAAATTGGCTTTCCTAAAATCCAGGGTACATGTATTTAACCTTTGCTTCCTTTAGAATCAAGGATGCAAGTATGGCATGGTCATTTTCCTACAGAGTTTCTGTATCTGCCATTTTGTCCCCTGGGTCTTCTCTGTGGGTTAATATCAAGTCAAAGATAGCTTCCTGTTCCTTCCTCCAGTTTCTTTCAGATGAATTTATCAGCAACACATGTTAGGAATCTCTTTGAGAGACCACATTTGGCAGAATTTGTCTCCCAGCAGGGAAACTGAAGCCCCTGCTAACACTGACATCATGCTTCCTAGCAATTTTCTTTACAAAAGGTTTATTCTAGTCTCCTTGACCTGGTTGTCAGGAATAGACTCCAACCACTGTGTACTTTTTATTCCTTGCTCCATTTATATTAATCCAGATGCTCTAGATGGGGCTAAGCTCATCCTCCTGTATTTCTGTGCAGATATATGCATCTTTAACATATAATGTGACTCCACCTCCCTTTCTGTTCCTTCCATTTCTTTTGAACAAGTTATATTCTTGTTGCATTCCAGTCATGAGAGTCATCCAATCGAGTTTCAGTTATACCTATCAGGTCATATTCACCCTCCTGTATTAAGAGTTCATGCTGTTTGTTTCCATACTGTAGGCATTAGTGTAGAGATATTGGAGACGAGATGCTTTAGCTTTCTTCCTACATTTTTTGGAATACTTTCATTGGGCACTGTTGGAGCTGCTCTTTCTGTTGCAGTTCATAAGCCTTTGTCTGTTGTTACGCCCAGGTGTACTTCTCCCTCCCCTGTAGGATTCAGTTTAAAGCCTTCCTGATAAACTTCTTCATGCTGTGGCCAAACACATTCTTTCCACTTATTGTAAGGTGCAGCCATCCCTTGCCAGCAGTCCATCTTTCAGGAAGTGTAGCTCATGGTCCCACAATCCAAATCTCACATTAGCACCAACCTCTGGCATTCACTTGGAATATTTTTCTTTCCCTGTCTAGTCCTCTTCCAAGAGAAAACTATCTGGGCCTCAAAGTCCTTGACTTTCTTCCCTAAAACTTCAAAGTCTTACATGAGCTCTTCAGAGCTCCACTTGGCTGTGTTATTTGTTGCCACATGTGTAAGAAGGAAGAGATATGTGTCAGTGGTCTATATGAGCCTTGGCAATCTTTCAGTTATATCATTACACACAACAGGGAGTCTCCCACAATTTACACGCTTCTCTTCTTGTTCTTGCAAGGCTTGGTATCATTGCAAGTACTTGGTTGGCCTTTAGCCTCTTGTTCAGTGTTGCATGGAATGTCTTGCAGTTCTACCACAACAGGCTGCCTTCAAGTCTCATCCTCAAATAACTGAAAGTGGTTCGAGAGTTTCACTGTTTCCACTGGTGCAGAATGTCTTCTCGTTTTCTGCACCTAACTGTCACCCTTTTCCAGGGAGTTTCCTCCTCATTTTTCCTTCCCTCAGGATTCTTTTCTTCTACCTCAGCTTGCTGTTGGACTTCTAGCTTCTGTACTACTTTTAACTGTTGCAGTTCCACCACTCTGTCTAAAAACTCTTCATCTTTTATTATGTTGAGGATGGACATTCATTGCACTAGTGCTCTCACCTTTTCTTCTAACAGGGCTACTGGTTTGCCCTTATTGCATATGTTGGCCATGTTGCCCTTAGGCAGGAAAACAAACATTGCCCAGATGTTGCAGGTCACCACCACTGGGGAGTTTTTGCAGACTTTCTGCTATCTTTTGGATTCTACCGTGTTAGGCCTGTTGTAACAATCAGTGCTATTGCTTGTCTTCACTAAACGTTAACAACACAGTTCTACCTGCAAATAGGAATGTGTTACAAGGAAGCAAACAATGCAGGAAAAACTAATGGGAAAAGAAGAAAAGAAACATCAGGGAGCTCTCTCTTGATCTCCCATGCCACCAAGCTTCACTGCCAAAGTCCTGTTTGCTCTCAGAGCTTAGCTGCTCGTATCCCAGAGTCCCTAGATCAGCTGGGGTAGCTTCTTCTGATCTGCTCAGCTAGAAGTCAGGAACCAGAGTCAGGAAAGCATGTTTGATTTCAGGTGATATTTTTAGCTCACTGCAGAACTACCTAATCTGAATTTCTAACCAAGTGTACAAAGCACATTAAATTCAGTGGCAACATATATTTATTATAAATTTCCTACATTTAGAAAACAGTGGGTAACATCAAATAAGCACCTTTATTAATAAATTATTATTATTACTTTGCATTAAATTATTATCAATAATTTGCATTAAATAATTTGTATTAACTAAGAATTTGCATTAAATTATTATTATTGTTTTGCATTTATATCCCATCTTTATTCTGTTATGAAGAACCCAAAGCAGTTTACATAGTACTTCACTCCATTTTTATCCTCAGTAACAACCCTGTGGGGCAGGTTAAGTTGAGAGCCCATGACAAGCCCAAAGTTACTCAGTGAGTTTCATAGCTGAGTAGGGACTAGAAACTAGATCTTCCAGGCCCCCAGTCCAATGCTCTAACCACCATACTGGCTCTCTTCACAATCTAGGAAAAGAAAATTTTGAAGAAGAACATTAATTTATAGGTTTAAATAATTGATCTGTGTTCTGTAGAAAAGTTCTCCCAGATTTTGGCACATAGATGTACTCTCTCTTGGGCTCATGGTGCATTAGTGTAAACAAAAGTAAAGAACATGGGAGAAGACAAGACTACCTTTTTGGTAGAAGAAAATGGATAAAATATACATTTTATATATTTCTTTAACATATAAAAGAAAAACAGTATAAAATATTTACAACCAGCAACCAAACATTTCTTTCTTAATTGCAGGAGGGAACCTCTATGATAAGATCCTGCGGCAGAAAGACAAGTTGTTTGAGGAAGAGGTAACTTGACAAATTTGAGAAGCAATGGGACAAAGTCTAGTTTTGTTTCATGTGCCTAGTTATCCTAGGATCCATTTCATAATCACTGCCATAGCAGCAAGCAGGTAACAAACAGAAATCCTTTTGAGGTTACAAATGTGAATCCATAGTTATTCGTCATTTAGAAAGAATTAGAATGAAAACTTTATTCTGATTACCTTACAGTTTTCCAGAAAACCTGTGACATGCACTCAGTTCTACAGGGAGTTTATATGTAACATGGACGTTCATATCATATTAATATAAAACATTTTTGTGGGAGTTCACTTATAAAACAGTGGTGGGTATTTATTTATTTGTTTTTCAAAAGTTCTATACTGTCTATTATTTTCATAGAAGACGGTTTACAATAATAACGCTCCACTTGCACAACAGAGATTTAGCATTTCAATAAGCAATCCCTGAATTTTTTCTGGATCAAAAAAGTGGAATGTTATGCAATCCCTACTGACCTGCCCCATTCTGGAAATAATTGTTTATGCTAGTCTCAAGCTTCTGTCTGATACACTAAATTACCATTACACAAACAATGGTTTCTTCTGGTACTTGGGCAGTATTGGATACAGCAAAGTGTGGTATATCTACCACTGGTGAAACAGATTCCCTAATCTGCCTTAGAGTGGGGGCAGGAGGTACAGAGGAGAGAGAAAGTGAAATTCTTGTTGTAAATGGATGTTCAGTTGCATGACACTGGGTGACATTTTTAAAAATTTATTCATGTTCACAGAATCCAGGATTTTTAAAGCATAGCATTCTAGATCCTTTTCTCGCAGAATTAGTTTTCATCTGTTCCATGACAGTTAACACATCAAAGTCAAGACCTCTTTGACTTTCTAAGATAGCTGAGCAGCATCAGCTGTTACTGCTAATTACTTTTAGCATTAAGTTACCAATTCTTTTAGCACCCATCAGCCTGTACCTTGGAGCCCACATGAGCAAATTATCCTGGAAACATTGGCCCTTGAAAAGGATTTTGCTCCCTCAGTAACTCCTAAGGGAGCAAAAAAATTCTCTTTCTAGGAGAGTCTTCCACTGTACAGCCTTCAGCAATGTGGTACTTGGACTGCAACTACTATCAGACCCACTCAACTTGACCAGTGGTCAGAGATGATGAAGTTGTAATGCAAAACAACTGGAGGGCATTATGCAGGGGAAAGCTGACCTAGAATATTTTGTGCATTCTGTTTACTAGGAACAAAAGGTATTTGGCTTACATGTAAATACTCTTTCTTTGCAGATGGTGGTGTGGTATCTATTTCAGATTGCATCAGCAGTAAGCTGTATTCACAGGGAAGGAATTCTTCATAGGTAGGTGTTTAATATACTAGGCTAATTGGTTACCAGTTTTGTTTCCAGCTTAAAATGCAGTGCTCTTCATCCAAGGCAATGCAAAAGGAGACAAATTCTACTTGTGTGGTGCTCTTTGAGACACTGTCAACTTTCAAAACACCAGGCCCAGGGAGGATGGAGGCAGATGGAAGCTTTAGTGGAATGCAGGAGCATGGAGGCAAAATGAGAAACAAACAAGGGTCAGATACCAACAAGGTTTGGCAAGTCTAAAAGGTGACCTCAGGAACCAGCAAGGGTAAGATACGAACAAGAGATGACTCAGTGGCAAAGTCTAGGGGCAAGTTGAGGTCATATAGCAGCAAGGCAAAGCAGGTCCTGGAGGAAGGTGAAGTCAGAGAGAACAAAGAAGAGGTACCTGGAAAGGCAGAGTCAGGCTGAAAGCAAGGGCAGAAGCAGGGAACAAGGCACAGTCAAGGGTAATGCTAGAAGTAGAAGCACACACCATGAAGGCTTTATTGCTGTAGCAAAACTGAGGAGTACAGGGAGATTTCAGCTATACTGCATGATTGTGGAGGGTCCAGTCCTTGCAAATGTCTCCAAACATTGATAGTAAGTTAATAGTAGAAGTGTCAACTAAATGGACAAAACAATTTGCTGAACATTTTTCTGAGCACGGAACTTCAGATTTCCTAATACAGATTACATACTACCCTAGTGGTTGTCAGACTAGATAAATGCATTATGCACCTCTACTTGGACTCATCCTTTGTCCACGCTTGGCAACAGATAAAAAACATTGGATAACGCCTATCCACAATAGCGTATTGTGGATTGTATTGTCCTTTTATTCCAAACTATTAGTGAAAACCAGCAGATGATTTGTCTTGGCTCTAAAATAATCCACTGTACTATATGGTCCTATTTCACAACAAAGCTTCATTGAATTTAATAGGACTTACTCTAAGGAATAGGTATCAGGTTGTAGGATCCTTTCAGACAAAACTCCTTTTGTGCCATCAACCTGCCGCATTCACAGAATTTCATGGAGAGGCCAGATTACACTATCTTTTCCCAGAAGCTTTTGCCTATTTCCCAACCACTTCTTTATTCTGCAGCAAATCCATTAAGTAGGAAAAAGTGGGATGTCACCACAGTGCTTTCTGATTACTAGCATTAGGACCCTGTTGTCTGGAAGAACCAAAGCCTCAGTATAGCCTCAGTGTGGTTTTTTCAGGGCTCTCACTGAAATATCCCCCAATCAAAATATTTTTAGCACTTATGTTTTGGAATGTTTGCTTTGTTTTTAATAGCTTTGCATTATGATTTCCATGGAACTGGGGCATTTGGGTTAGCCTGTTTCTAAAAATTGATAGATACTGTAGTAAAAATGTGAGTCTCCTGGCATGAAGAGGAATAAGGCAATGCTTTCCAGAGTAAAGTTAAAATGGCAGCATATTAAATCGTATGGCTGGTGAAGAACTACAACAATTATTTCTTCTCTAGAGATATAAAGACGCTGAATATCTTCCTCACCAAAGCAAATCTTATAAAACTAGGTGACTATGGTTTGGCGAAAAAGCTGAATTCTGAGTATTCCATGGCTGAAACTGTAAGTGTCTGTTGTTTTAACATTGTGATAGAATAATTTCCCTATTAACCTATTCGGGATTTTATGCATGTTCTGTTGTAAGAAGTATGAAGTAACTTAATGCTTGTCTGCATCCTTTCTATACCTAGTCTGAATTATCTTACTCATGTTAGAAATATAAACTTATTACTTTGCATTATATATACCCTCCCGCCCCTTGAGATCAGCAACGGATGCCCTTCTCCGGGAACCCTCTGTGAATGATATTAGGAGGGTGAGTACCTGGAGGAGGGCTTTCTCTGCGGTGGCGCCCCATCTATGGAATGCGCTCCCCAGAGAGGTCTGCCCGGCACCATCATTATTTGTTTTTTGGCGCCAGGCTAAGACCTTTTCATTTAAAACTTATTTTAATTGCTAAATTATTGACTTAATTAGGATTTTAAAATTAGCCGAGAATGCACCAGGGGTTTTTAAATGTTTTTTTCTTTTAAATTATTATATTATTTATGTATGTTTTTATGTATTTTTTGTGAGCCGCCCCGAGGCTTTGTTGCGATGGGGGCAGCATAGAAATGTTTTAAATAAATAAATAAAATTACTTTGGAATCTTCTATTAGGAAATGTATATTTGTGTAGTTCTGAAAGCTTCAGTTCTGCTGATTTTTTTTCTTGGCAGATGTGCATAGTTTTCTTATGTTTCTTCTCCAGTATATAATTTGAATTATTAATAGCATCTGTCATTTCTTCAGTCTTGAAGCCAGTGTGGTATAGTGGTTAAGAGTGTAAGACTGGGACTCAGTAGTTCTGGGTTCTTGTCCCCATTCAGCATTAGAGCTAATTGGGTGACTTTCAGCCAGTCACAGACACTCAGTCCAACCTACCTCACACGGTTATTGTTGTAAGGGTAAGATTGGGAGGAGGAGGAGGCCCATGTAAGCTGCCTAGAGTTCCTTGAAAGAAAAAAAGGCAGCATATAAATATGATTGATAGATAGCTAGGTAGATAGATAGAATTGTTCCTCAGTTCAGTATTTATTTATTTAACAGGCTGCAATCTTGAGCATGTTTACTTGTGCATAGGTCCATTGAACTTAATGGGATTTACTTGTGAGTAAACATGCATAGGATTGTCCTGTTTGCTTTAATGTCCAGGCTGCCTCAGTAATTGAGTTGTTTTCAGTCACTTTTGTCCCCTCACAGAAACATGTTTCTTGCTCACTCTATATTCTTTTCTAATTATTATTGTACACAGTTTTATAATGGAGTAAAATTGTATAGCAAATAATTAAAATATTGTGTACTCTCCATTACTGAGATATATTAGTTATGAGTCCCATCCTTTAGAGAGCAACTTTGGATCAAACACAGTAGGCTTGGGCTTGATGCCGTTCGACATGCAATTGAATATACCACTGATGGAAAGCTGTAGCCAATCCTGGTTCCCTGACAAATAAGCTTATGTAATATGTACACTTCAGGATACCTGAAGGAACATCTCCTTCCTTATAGGCCCTCTTGCCCCTTAAGATCTGTGGGAGAAGCCCTGCTCTGGGAACCCTCTCTAAGAGAGTTAAAAAGGTCATCAGCTTGGAGTAGGGCCTTCTCTGCTGTGGTGGCCAGACTCTGGAATGTGTTTCCCAGAGAGGTATGCCTGGCGCCAAGTTTATACTCTTTTCGGCGCCAGGCTAAAACCTTTTTATTTAAATGGTATTTTAAAATTTAACAATTTTTACCTTCAGTCGCTCTGTTTGTTTTGTGATTTATTGTTTTGTTCTGTTTCAATTTATTAATTGGAAATTGTTTTTTTTATTGTTCTTTTAAATATTGTAAGCTGTCCTGAGATTTTTGTATGATAGGACGGCATACAAAAGCTTTTAATAAATGAATAAAATATAATGTATTGATCCTTAGATATACTTTAAAAATGGCTTACATGTGGAACTTGCTAAAATGAAATTATGAAGCAACACCCCCACAAAAATCCTATATATGTATACCCACATCATACAATTAGTGCCGAGGTAAAGTTTGCAATAAACTTTCTTTTTAAACTTTCTAAAACTTACTTTAATTTAGAGCAGAGGTAAACAACTCAAAAATTTGTCAACAACTTACAGTTTTGGCTGTGCTTGTTAGGGCTGCTGACTGTTGTAAGCCAAAACAAGTGGCTAACCACAAGTTGCCTACCCCTGATTTGTAGCACAGTCTGTGTAGTTTCATTATCTCTGAAACAAAATGAATTTCTAAGGCTTGATTTGGAAAAAACAAACTAAAATCTGACTATTGATTGTGCTCCCAACATTTGGAAGACACAAAGATTGTAGGCCACTATCTAGCCAAAGTCCTGCTGGTAAGAGCCAGTCAGGAAGAGAGGAACGATAGTAGTGGTTTTTCCTTGTGTTCCTCCTAAAAAAACCAAAATCAGCTAAACAGGCCTCTGCGCTATCTAGCTGCTTTGCCAAAGGTCTGTGGGAATGGCAACAGAAAGGTGGTATGATCCTGTGCAGGATCCCCCTCCCCACCCAACCAATGTCTCACTCTTTTATTTCTCCAAGCTCTTTCAAGGTTTCTGCAGTGGCTGTGAGGAAGAACTGCTTTATGTCAGGTTTCCCCTCCTGAGTTGTAGTTTTGACAATTCACCATATCCTCTGATCTCTGGGATGCTCTTCCAAGGACCATAGGATTGCTATGTCAAGCATTTTTCTAGGCCTTATTCCTAATAATGTACAATACATTCTGTGGTTTTAGTAGGCTTGAGCTTCTAAAAAATTGCGGTATGTATCCTCTGCAAGTATACTGGCAAACTCTTGAATAATTTGTCATGTCTGCCCTGTTGTTTAACTTGATTGTTTGCGCCCTTCTTTTTATTTAATATATTCTTTTTAAAAATTTTGCTTAATTTTTCATGCATTTAGGCCTTTGTTTAGTTCTAATAAACAGTTGATTTCCAGTTGCAGGAAGGAAGACACAACTACTCTGACCAGAAATGCAGTTTATTTACTGTTTCAAAATTATGACTAGCTCTAGTAAATGTGATAGGTCCCATTGATTACTGTGTATACTGTGTGTGAAAACACAGATGTGGGACAGGGTGGTTGGCAGTTGGGAATATATGAACTATGTCTAATATCAAGGCGGTGGTACAATTTCTTTAATATTTTTGCTCTGTTGTGCAGTTGGTAGGAACGCCATACTACATGTCTCCAGAACTTTGCCAGGGAGTAAAATACAACTTCAAATCTGATATCTGGGCAGTTGGCTGTGTTGCCTTTGAGCTCCTCACACTGAAAAGAACTTTTGATGCAACAGTAAGTTACAGTTGTGGGACAAATATGCCAGTTCTTAATACTGTGTGGCTGTCCTTTATTTTCAGGGTTTTTTTTCCTGAGAGTGACTGTGTTTGTGTGTGTATATGAGAGAGGGAGACTCCAATTTTAAGTGTGTACAGCAGGGAGATCCATTTCTAAATCTCCTGCTTAGGAATGTCAGTGCATTTTGTCTACTTCTGAAGTCCTTTGCTGATGTTCTGGGCCTATCTTGAATGTAGGTTACATTTGAACCAATTGAAAGTAGAAGACTAAACAACACAGCTCCACAGGAAATCTTCTTAGGCAGATTCTCTAGCTCTATTCAGATTATTTCAATATTTACTTCCTAGAATCCCTTGAATTTGTGTGTGAAGATTGTACAAGGGAACCGGACAATGGAGGTTGATTCTAGTGTTTATTCTCCAGATCTCATCCAGATGGTGCATTCCTGTCTTGATCAGGTTGGTGAGATACAGTTTCCTTTCAAGTAGAGGAAAGGTTGTCGAAGGACTTCAGCAAATCAGAGTCACTAAAGTCCTTCTATCTGTGGTGTGTCATTAACTCTGAACTTTCTGCTAAATTTATAAACTCTTATTCACAGTTGGCCAATGCCTTTATTAGGAACAACAAAAATGTCACAAAAAGAGTATGCAAGCATTTGGGTTTTCCAACATTTGAAAGCTTGTGTACTCTTTCATGCATTTATTGTTGCTTCCAATAAATACATTACCCAACTGTGGATTTTTTGACATTTTATCATGGAGCAGTACATTTATTTTGTTTTTCATAACCAGTTCTCTGGGTCTTTCCAGAACAGGCTTTTATCATATCAATGCCCTATGATATTCCATCATTCACAGAATTTTATAGGATTTTAGACTACTAGAGTTGGGTCTTCCATTTGTTTTCCCACTGCCTCTTCCATCCATTCTCATACAGCATGAAATCCATTAGGAGGAAGAGAGAGACTAGTAGCACTCACTGTGCTAGGGGCATTCCACTGGAAGCATCCACTGTGTTTGGGAAAATGGGAAAAGAACTCAAGAAAGTGGTTAGTTAATCTGCCCTAAGACTTTTAATTGTTGAAAAATGATCCCTTTCCTTAGGGAGTGACCTGTCACTCACCTCTTTCAGGATCCTGAGAAGAGGCCTACTGCTGATGAGCTGCTTGAGAGTCCCCTTATCAGCAAGTGCAGGAGGTAAACAGTCATACATATTTTGAAAAAAGAATAAGTCTTATGGGTTAGGAACAGTCACTGAGTCTTGTGCAGCCTTTCTATTTATACTTCATGTATTCTGTCATTAAGACTGACCATTAGCTGATGAGACATAGATGAGTCCTCATAATCAGATAATAATCATGCATACCTTTCAACACTGGTTTAAAATTTAGAGACCGCATCCTCCATACATGTTAAACAGTCTAGAACACAAGATTTTGAAAAAAAAAGTGCATATATTCAGGTCCTCCCCCCAGGTTTGACTAATTGACTCCATATTTCCACTTCTTCAGGCTAGCCAAAATATTAGTCTAGATTCAAAAAAACAGCATAAAAAGGGGCCAATGGAATCTTAATTTCCCTCTGCTTCCTCACTTCAGCATCCCATTGAAAAGCATACTCTGAGAATACAGGAACCTGCATAATTATGTGGGCTATGATCTAAGGAGCTCTGGAAATGTAAAAATCTGGCAGAAGTGCTTGCTGCTAGAGAGAGATTTTACAATTATTTGTGAAACTATGTATAACAACAAGCAAAATAATCACCAACAATGTATCCAGTTTATAAACATTTATATAGATTTAAAAGTTTAAATATTAAAAGAAATTTCTTAGATTTAAAATTAACAATTCTTTAAAATAGACCTATAAATAGATTAACATATGTGAAAAGTTTTGGTATAAAACTTCAGCTTCAGTCACAGATATATTACAGTCCCATTTAAAAACTGAACCAGGACGATACTAGAGCAAGGCCAAACCTCAGCATTAGTTAATAATCAGTGCCTGTATTCCACAGCTAATCAACCACATTAATAAACATCATGGCTTCTTTCATCTCATCTTTTACCCTGATGCCAGGTTTTAGCTGATCAATAAACATTGCTTCCTTAATCTTCTCCTTTGGAGGCTTTGTTCAACTGGTAGCACAGAGATCATAATTGCAGCTACTCTGCCAGCATGTTTCTCCCTCATGAAAAGACAGAGGTCTAGCATGTGTTTCATTATGTTACATATCAGCTACATGCTCCTTATATCTTTTAAGGTAAGGTCTTCCAGGAAGATTGGATACAATGAAGTTTTATTTTTTTAATGAACAATATGCACCATTTAAAGTAGTGCAGTACAATCTAGTAAAATGGAGCAATTTTTCTGAATTGCTTGTAGTGTCTGTGAATTGAATTGGTATCTCATGCCCATAGTGCTTTAGCAGTAGAGTGTTGCTGCTCTTCTTACTACCTATTCTTTATCCTGGCAGGGAAATGGAAGAGAAGGTTGTTCTGCTGAATGGGCCAAACAAACGACCAAGGTAATGGAATGTGTGCTGAAGAGTGCAATTGAAGAAAATGAATTTCTAGACATATTCACCTTTACTACTTGGTTGAGAATAACAGTGAAGCTATACTTCAGTATAAATACACATTTTCAGTGTAAAATGCCAAAATAAAATACGATGGCAGAAATGGGTAGCTTTGGAAGAACCTGGTCATTTTTACTCTCTGGCTCCACTGCAGTGGCCTGCATCATCCACTCAATGCATCTCACAAAATAAATAAAAATTAGAAATGAATGAAATTAATAAAGAGTGGCATCTAGAGTAGTTGAGGAACACCAAAAGGGTCAAACTGCAAAAAGAAAAAAAGGTGTTCTGTGGTAACTCTGGAGCACTTAAAAACTCAAAATAGCCACTTTGGATGTCGCTTTTCTATCCTTTCTGTATAACAATTATCTTTCAGAGGACTAATTAATTTCATTTTTTGACTGGGCAACCTTCCAAATGGACAGCAAAAACACTGTGAACATGGTATATCTTGACTTTAGCAAATCATTCAACCCTAACCCCATGTCATCCTGATAAGCAACTAGCAAACAGTAGACTAGACAGAAAAACTGTTAGGTGGATCAAAAATTGACTGCTAAATTGGACATGAAGAGTGGCACATTCTCAAACTGGAAAAAGGTAACTAGTGGGGTGCTATAGGGTTCAGTCCTAGGCCCAGTGCTCTTCAACATTTTTATTAATGAGCTAGATGAAGTACAAGGAAAGATAATCAGATTTTCAGATGATACAAAAACTGGGTGAAATAACAAACACCCTAGAAGACAGAATGAAGATCCCGGGGTGATCTTGATAAACTTGAATGCTGGGATGAAAACAACAAGGTAAGATACAATAGGGGCAAATGCCAAGTCCTCCACCTAGGAAAAAGAAAACAAATGCATCAATACAAGATGGGGACTATGTGGCTCAATAGAACTGAAAAAGAAAAAGACCTTGGAGTTATTGTGGACAACATTCTAAATATGACTCAACAATGTGATGCAGCTGCAAAAAGAACACATGGTATTTTGGGATGCAGTAATAGAAGTATTATTTCCAAATCATGAGAAGCGATAGTTCCCCTATACACTAGTCGGACCTCATCTGGAATACTGTGTCCAGTTCTGGTCACCAATATTTTTAAAAGATGTAGAAAAACTAGAAAGGGTCCAGAGGAGGTCAACAAAAATGATCCAGGATTTGGAAACATTGCCCTATGAGGAGAGACTGAGAGAACTGGGTATGTTCAGCTTTGAGAATACAGGACTGTGGGGGACATGATATCCCACTATAAGTACCTGAAAGGGTGTCAAAGAGAAGAAGGACACGATCTCTTCTCGCTCATAACAGAATGTAGGATGCAGAATAATCAGCTGAAGTTGCCACAACCCAGATTCAAGCTAGATATCAGAAGTTTCTTAACTGTCAGAGCAATATGACAATGGAACCTATTACCTGGGGAAGTTGTGAACTCTCCCTTGTTAGAGACACTGAAAAACTGTCAGGGCAGTCATCTGAATGGTATAGTGTAACTTAGTGTCCTGCAATAGCAGGGGGTTGAACCAGATGGCCTCTGGCCTATTTTAACTCTACTATTCTATAATTCTGTGAACTTTGCTCATCTCCATACTGATCTCTTCGATTTCACAGAACCAGCACCATGAATGAGGCTCCCATTGCAGTGGTGACTTCTCGCACTAGTGAAGTATATGTATGGGGAGGTGGAAAGTCAACTCCACAGAAGCTTGATGTCATTAAAAGTGGCTGCAGTGCACGACAAGTTTGTGCAGGAAACACTCACTTTGCAGTGGTTACAGTTGAAAAAGAGCTCTATACGTGGGTGGTAAGTAAAATGTATTAAAGGCCGCAAAGAGTAGTAGAATGAACTACTACATTCAATTTACTTTCATATTCATATTCATTCATCTCTGGCCAACAAGCATGGACCAAGTGCCTGTAGGAGTATGCAACCTTTGTCTCACAGGAGGACCTTCATGGTAAGCAAAAAAAAAAAAAAGATCCTGGTGCCATCAATTGGACAAGGAAGTATTCATTTCAGGGAGCTTGCTTATCCTCTACTCTTCAAGAAATAACATTTCACTCCAACTGTGAAGGGAAGCACTCTGGTTCCATCCGTTGGCCAAAGACTCTTGAATGTAGGCTCTAGAACACAACTTGAACCTGCAAACATCTAGTATGTGCAGTTTGCTGGACATTTTGCAAAGTTGCTCATATTTATGTCAACTTGGATGTCATTGTTATGACAGTGTCTGAGATTGATTGAGCTGGTGTTCCATTTAGTAACGTTATGGATACCTTTTGGCTTGTACATCTTGAGGATGGGGATAATGTTTGTCCATCTTGGCTTATGAAATTAGTCAGAGTTGGGCTGGGTACCTGGACCTCTAAGGTGGTTAATGCTTCTTTGAAAGATGATGAGGCCCCACAACTTTGAAATAAGAAATGGTGAGACTCTTGTTGAAGAAACTAAATCTTCAGTGCCACCCTGAGACATTGTGAAGGGCGGGATACAAGAACTTTAAATTGATCGATCAATCAATCAATCAATCAATCAAAGCCCTGCAGTTTAGTGTAGCTACCACCCTGTGTCAAATTAGCCACTGTTGGACAAGGTGCCAAAGACTGTGGTGGCCTCATATTGTCAAGCAGCATGGCATAATTATTTAGATCTATTCCAGACAGGTTTCAAATCTCATGACTGGACAGAAACAGCCTTGGTTGCCCTGGTTGATGAATTATGCCAGGGAATAGATGGGGGAGTTCAAATCTGCTGGTTCTTCTGGACCTCTGAGGAGTTTTTGATACTGCCAACCATGGTATCTTTCTGATTTGTAAAGATGTAATGTGTCTGTCTTCACTATTTCTTGTAACCTGTTGGCTTATAAGACATTATTAAAGGAGTTAACTGTAATCTCAGAATTCAGCCTTTTTTGGCTTAAGGCCAGGATCTTTGGCACAGTTTATGCACACGTTTTCTGGGCTCAGGGGTTTTCTGTTCCTTCCATTTGGCAGTGGAGAGACATTTCAGGCAGCACTAAATAGGCCACTTTATCCTCTGTGCATGTGGAGGTGGCATATGAGTTTCTCTGGATTCTAACCAGAGTATATATTACTCATTATCTGGTTCCTTCACATCAGAGTTATTCACAATGCTCTTGAAGCTCTGGTTGTGCATCCTTTCTTTACTTTACTTTGGTGTTTTATAGAACATGCAGGGGGGCACAAAATTACATGGTCAACTGGGGCATGGAGACAGAGCCTCCTATCGGCAGCCTAAGCATGTGGAAAAACTGCAGGGTAAAGCTATTCGCCAAGTGTCTTGTGGAGATGACTTCACTGTCTGCATCACAGGTGAGAGACAGGTTAATCATACCAAAAATATGCTGTGGAAAATACTGAAACAGGATATTGACTGAAAGATTAAAAAATACCTTTGCTAGGAAAGGGGCTTATAATGTTTTAGAATTGATAAAATATAGGTTACCTGCAGGGAAGAGAAGAATAACGTCAAAACAATAACATTCAAAGATTAAAAAAATAAATGTTTCATACAATAATTGGCAGGTGGCAGTTTCTGTATGTGTGGGGGGCATACTATTGGCTTGAGACACATTAGCCTTAGCATGCAATTGACCTGGCTTGATCTAAATAATTAGGCTACAATATAATCTAATTTCCCTGTGTGTAAGATGAAAACTTGGCATTGTTGGCAGGATTTGTACTCATAAGTGCATTCAACAAATAATCTGACCCTGTCAAATTAATGTGTTCCATCATTCCATGCAGATGAGGGACAAGTCTTTGCTTTTGGCTCAGACTACTATGGCTGCATAGGTGTTTCCAAGGCATTTGGCTCTGAAGTGTTGGAGCCTGAACAGCTGTTCTTCTTCCACAACAATCCAGTGGAGCAAGTTTCTTGTGGAGATAACCATGTTGCAGTGTTGACCCGAAACCGAGAAGTCTACACATGGGGCTGTGGAGAATATGGTATGGGACTTCCTGTCTACAGCTTTTAGGATTGAAGGGGAGACAGAAAAATTAAACAAAGTACAAATGATAGATACTTCAGGAGAAAAGTGCGTGTACCCAGTTCAGGTTTTAGAAAAATAACAACAATGAAGCATCATAGAACAGGCAGTTGAGAGGCACAATATTGAGAACTGTTGTGGACAGACAGGACTAACATCCCTTAGACTTAGAGCAACTGCTACAATAAACTTGAAATTCAGCTGGGCTTCATAATTCTGAAAAGATAGGTGGTCAGGCCAAGGATATCCTGCAGCTTTCAGGAATGGGTAAGTTCTGTTAGATCAGAATTGAAAAGTCTGCTTTGAATCTGAAAGTAATTATCTGTAATTTGGACTCTTCAGAAATAAGGCACTTAATTATTTCTGTGTTTATTTCTTCCCAAACACAGGCCGGTTAGGTTTGGATTCAGAAGAGGATCACTCCCTCCCACAGAAGGTAAAATAGACTGGGCCGTGGACAGCAGCAGGCATGTTCACTATATCTTTATTCTGGAGTACTTCAGTGTTTCAGACATTTTCTAAAATCTACAGAAATCTTTAGTAAAAAGTGAAAGGTTTATGATCTGAAATCAGAGAAACTAAAGCCGTATATTAATTGTATTATTGTGGATATCAATGCCGTGATTGTATTTTATTGTGTATATATATATATATATCTTAAAAATGTGATTGAGATTTGTTGTTGTTAGTTGAAAAATCGTGTCCAACCCATCGCAACCCCATGGACAACATTCCTCCAGGCCTTCCTGTCCTCCACCATTCCCCGGAATCCACTTATGCTCACACCAGCTGCTTCAGTGACTCCATCTAGCCACCTCATCCTCTGCCATCCCCTTCTTCATTTGCCATCTATTGTCCCCAGCATTAGGCTCTTCTCCAGGGAGTCCTTCCTTCTCATTAGGTGGCCAAAGTATTTGAGTTTCATCTTCAGTATCTGGCCTTCTAAAGAGCAGTCAGGGTTGATCTCCTCTAGGACTGACCAGTTTGATTGCTGTGTGGTCCAAGGGACTCACAGGAGTCTCCTCCAGCACCACAGTTCAAAGGCCTGAATCTCCTTCGGCGCTCAGCCTTCCTTATGGTCCAGCTTTCATAGCCATACATTGCAACTGGGAAAACCATAGCCTTGAGTATACACACTTTGTTGGCAGGGTGATGTCTCTGCTTTTTAGTATGCTGTCTAGATTTGCCATAGCTTTCCTCCCCAGGAGCAAGCGTCTTTTAATTTCTTGGCTGCAGTCCCCATCTGCGGTGATCTTGGAGCCCAGGAAAATAAAATCTGTCACTACCTCCATTTCTTCCCCATCTATTTGCCAGGAAGTGAGAGGACCGGATGTCATGATCTTAGTTTTCTTAATGTTGAGTTTCAAGCCAACTTTTGCACTCTCCTCCTTCACCCGCATCAAGAGGCTCTTTAGTTCCTCCTCACTTTCTGCCATTAGAGTGGTATCATCTGCATATCTGAGGTTGTTGATATTTCTTCCAGCAATCTTAATTCCAACTGGTGATTCATCTAGCCCTGCCTTTCTTATGATGTTCTCTGCATATAAGTTAAATAGGCAGGGCGACAGTATACAGGCTTGCCGTACTCCTTTCCCAATTTTGAACCAAACAGTGGTTCCGTGTCCAGTTCTCATGTTGCTTCTTGACCCACGTATACGTAGGTTTCTCAAGAGACAAATAAGATGGTCTGGTACGCCCATCTCTTTAAGAACTTGCCACAGTTTGTTGTGATCCACACAATCAAATTCTTTAGCGTAGTGAATGAAGCAGAAGAAGATGTTTTTCTGGAACTCCCTAGCTTTCTCCATGATCAGCGTATGTTGGCAATTTGATCTCTAGTTGCTCTCCCTCTTCGAAATCCTGCCTGTACGAGTACTTCTAATAGTTCTCGGTCCACATACTGCTGGAGCCTAGCATGTAGGATTTTGAGCATAACCTTGCTAGCATGTGAAATGAGTGCAATGGTGTGGTGGTTTGAACAATCTTTGGCACTGCCCTTCTTTGGGTTCGGAATGGAAACTGACCTTTTCCAATCCTGTGGCCACTGCTGAGTTTTCTAAGTTTGCTGGCATATTGAGTGTATTTTACTGCATCGTCTTTTAAGATTTTGAATAGCTCAGCTGGAATACTGTCGCATCCACTAGCTTTGTTGTTGTTCAGACTTCCTAAGGCCCATTTGACTTCATATTCCAGGATGTCTGGCTCGAGGTCAGTGACCACCCCATCGTGGTTATCAGGGACGTTAAGCTCTTTCTTGTATAATTCCTCTGTGTAATCTTGCCACCTCTTCTTAATCTCTTCTGCCTCTGTTAGGTTCCTGCCATTTTGGTCCTTCATCATGCCCATCTTTGCATGAAACGTTCCCTTCATATCTCCAATTTTCTTGAAGAGATCT